CTTGGGGGAAAAATGGAAACAGCATCTTCAAAGAGGAGACTGACATCAAAGAAGAAGAGCAGGGACTATTTCCATAAAGTGCATCATAGACAAAGTTCAAAAGGAATAATTTGAGGATTTTTACAACTCACCTGTATTGGCATTATGCCTGATGATTCTACAGACTCCTCAAATCATTCCTGGGCAGGGATTTAGGTCAGGTATGTAAAAGGTACTGATGTGAAGGAGTCCTATGATTATGTGGCCTCACTGTCCAGAGAAACAGCTGATGGCTATCTTGCAGCAATAACTTCAGCCTTGGACAGATTAGAAATACTGTTTAGAAAAAGAGGGGATGTGGTACTAAGAACATATGGTTTAAGAAAAATAATTTGCTATAAAGGAGATGCCGTTTTCAAGTTTTAAAATTAAGTAGAAAGTCTATTCATTGTACTTCGCATAATGGTCAAAGTGGAATACTGAAACCCAATTATGAGGGGATCGCATTTCTTAAAACCTCACCTAACTACCTCTAGGTATAAATTTGAAAGATAAGCATTAATGAATATAGCCATCACAAATCCATGCAAAGCCTACAATGTCACTGGAGACACACAGTGTGCTTTAGGAAGGAAGGGGAAAAGTCTCTCAGAAGCAAAAATAATTTAAATTATAAATGAATTAAAATAGCCACTGAGCAGATGAGGTAAAATACATGCAATAAATAAAGTTCATGCACTTCACTCAGAAGAACCTATATGCTCTTATTTTACATTTAGAACTTATTCCTACATTATAAACAGCTCCTGCAAGAGTACTGTTTCCTATTCCAGGGAAGCAGAGAAGCAAATTAAAAGTTGGGGGCATCTACAGTCAATCTCATTGCAAAGGCACACTGAAAGCACCTAGAAGCAACTGCTAACAGCCTGACAAGGGACAAGAAAAATTATTTTTTAAAAAGAGATATAAGAACCCAAAACACAATGCAGAATGGAGCCTTAAGTGTAGCAGTGAAACCACCACCACACATCAGTGGCCTCTAAGATCACAGTATTACACAGTGTGTGCATAACAGCATAGACAAATTCCTTTAATAAGACTTATGTTCTGGTTCTGCGGCTTAAGAGCAAGCCATTCAGCATTTTCTGAACTCACCTTCACCTGTAAAATCATGGTAATACTTACTCTATCAGACAGAACTGCCAGGAAAAGCTGAAAAAAGTTTATGCAAAAGGCACTCTGAAAACTGGAATATACTATACAATATGTAACATGAAGAATGTTAAAATATGTTCTGTATATTCTGTTTAAGAAGGCAAGGAAGTATGCAATATATTTAAATAAATTTCCATTTAAATGGCTAAATAAAAAAATAGCACTTCTCTTAATAGCAGAACATTAACTTACATGGTACCACTTATCCCCTCCACAAAAATGTCAGATTTTTTTTAACAACTGTTAGCAAGAGAAAGAGTTTTTAAAAGCAAGAGAAATATTTTAGCTGCTCTTTGGAAATGAGATAGGTTGGACAGCATTTCTTCTGACAGGAAAGACATTTCAAAATGAGGAAAAATAAAATATGTTTTAAATGAATATTAATACTTAAAAAAATTAAATCAAATATATTTATAGAGGGATATTTTCCAAACTATAGATCATAATCACTAGTGGATTACGAAGTCAGTGTAGTGGGTCGCTACCAGCGTTTTTAAGAAAATAGGGTAGAAAATATCAGAGGTCATTGCATTTAATAAAGGTGAGTATTATTCCATAGAATTTTGTTTTACTTAATACAAATTAGTACCATGTGCATATACACAGTAGTGCTGGGTAACAATGTAAATGCATTTCTTACGTGGGGTATAGTCAAAAAAAGTTTGAAAGTCACTGATAAGAAAGCTGATAAATAGGCATTTGGTTTCTAGATAGTGGCTAACTACTAACAGAAAGAATTTAAAAGCAGCTAATACTGAGTAACCAGGAGATAATAAGGAAGTAAAGAAATCACAGCTGGGACCAGACTGATGGAGAAGAGGGTAGCGTTTTTTAAAAAAAGTCATTAGGCAGCAGTTCTCAAAGTCAGAAAAAGATAACAGCATTCCTTCTAGGATTTTTTTTTCTAATTTTTTTCTTTTTTAAGACAGGGTTTTGCTCTGTTGCCCAGGCTAGAGTGCAGTGGCATCATCATAGCTCACTGCAACCTCAAACACCCAGGCACAAACCATCCTCCTGCCTCAGCCTCCACAGTAGCTGGGACTACAGGTGCAAGCCACCATGTCTGGCTAATTTTTCCATTTTTTGTAGAGACTGAGTCTTGCTCTTGCTCAGGCTGTCTTCTAGGAATGTTTTAAAAAGGAAAATTATAGGGAGGCAGATGGTAAGAAAAGCACTATACTGGAAGTTAGGCGAATCCACCCTCTCACTTTAGTCCTCAATGTCCTCATCTGCAAAATGAGAGGATTAGACTTGGGGACAATTATTAAGAATCCTACTTAACACTCTCATTCTGATGGGAGTTTATAATAATTAAATCATGACATGATGACTTGTATTACAATAGAGCTTTTGTTCTTAATAACTAAAAGTTTATCTTTTAATGAGAAAATTACCTAACATCTTAATAAACAATATGACTTTATATAAAAATCAAGGCTTAACACCTAATGTCGTACTTCTGCATCACTCAGTTTTCCACACGTAAAAGGTGTACCTGGACAGGTAAAAATTACCCTTAGATAAGCATGTTACTATGCAGTTGGTGGCAACCATAAAAAGCACATGGAAGGTGCCTTGAGGGAGTTACATAACCTCCATATACCTTTCTTGGTACCATGGCATATTGACAAGATTTAAAAAAACTAAATAATCATTTAGATAAATTTACATTGTTAAAACAACTGATCAGTAATAAGTGTTTTATAGACTAAAAGATCAGATGTTCCTAAAATTTCCATTTATCTCTTTCCATATTAAGATCAATCATTTTAGCTTGCTCATTTCTTTTCTAGATAAAGGTATCAATTGCCTCCTTAATGTTTTCCTATTATTGCTTCAATTTCCTTGCCTGATCTTGGCTGGTTTTCCCAGTCTATGTGCTCTTTAACCTACTGGTAAGAGCCTATACGCTCCTTATTACTGGTAAGCCCTTCACTGCCTGTGCCCACTTCCTTATGCTCAGAGCCTATATCTGCAAAAATAGTGATTGCAAGCTCACAGATAAATAGACACATACAAAATTAATTTAGGACATACAACAGAGTCGCTCTGATTGGGAATAAGCTACGTATTATATTATGAGGAGGTGTTTACATAAAGATGTGTATTTTATCACACAGATGTCACATTTGGGGCTGCCTCTAAGACTAGATGAAATCTGTTTCACTTCTAAGCAAAAGATCTCCATCTTTTTCAATTTAGGCATGAAAAATGATAACCAAGAAATGTATAAAATAGGCCTGAATAGGGGTACTGTCAATGGAATAAAAACAGACCAACACACCAAGCTAATCAATCACTGACAGCTATTTTGACACTGAACACTACTGCAGAATAGTTCTAAGGAAATATACTGAAAAGAACTAAATACCTACAAAAATACAGAGAGAGAGACACACACAGAGACACACACAAACACACACTATGGTGTTCCATCATGCCATATCGTTAGTACAAAATAAGAGGAAGGTAAAGCATGATATCTACTAGCCGTTCTCTCTCTAAGTCATACTGCTCATCATTTCTCTCTTGTTCTACACACCAGCAGTGTTTGGAAAACATGTTCTCCCAAACCAAACCACTCTGATTGAAATGGACAGACACAGGTCAATCCAGGTGACCAATATGTAGAAACAAAATAATTCACATTTTGCTGTATTCGCTTTTTACTGAACTTGCTTGTCTTTTGCCAATTTTCACCTACTTTGAAATATGCACCAAGTAAACTATGAGACATTTAATTTTACCAAATGCCATCCAAATAACTGATTTGGTACCACACTACTCAAAATAGAGTGATCTTTATTTATAAAACTCACTTTGGGCATTAATGCTAATTATTAAGAGATCATATTACTACAACTTCATGACAGGCTCAAATATGTATTTAAGGGCTGAGTTAAAAAAACATGGAACTGGAAAATACTAAAAATATGTACAAGTAAGGAAGAAAGCACAAATCTCTATAAAATAAGTAAAGTTTTAAAATATGTACTAAGTGGAAATTGAGGAAGTGAAGATCCACCTGTGCTACCAAGTCCTGAAGCCAGCATTAAAGCTTTTAGAATCAAATATGCAAAAAGCAAACACCTTAGAAAAATGACAGAAGGATGAAACTGAGAATGAACAAGATAGTAATGAAAGGAAAAATCAAACATGACTGTTGATAAATGTCTATGTTATTACTATTCCACAAAAAAACACCATTTCTTACAGAGAGTGAATGGGAAATTGGACAGACAATGCTGTCAGCTATAAAACTCACCTTCATGAAGGCTGAACATGAGTGAGAAAAATGACATGTTAGCTTGTACAGCTGGAATTTCTAGAAATAATTTTAGTTACATAAAACATTTACTTACTATATCTAAAATTTTGAAACAGTTTTGGATTTTTCTTAATGCACTGAAATATGTGAAAGGTTTCTGTATAAAACTGCAAGTTAAGAAAAAAAGGTGTTTATTATAGATACTAATTGAAAGTGTAACAGAAGGATAATTCAGAATAATAGCAATTTTGATTAATAAAATTAGCACTTGGTACAAAACATATAAAACTATCAATTAAAAAAAGGCATAGGTAAAACTAAAAAAACTATAAGTGGATTCTCATTCTAAAAGATACCACTTGAACTCATTTAAATAAATACAGTATTAAGAAAAAAGTCAATACACTAGCATTAAACAAAAAAATATAGAAGGCACACACAAAACATATAGAATGAGGTCAATAATGCCTTTCTACAATCTAATCATATTGATGATTAATCTCTAAGCAAGTTTATCCCTTTCCTTCAATGAACTCACCCAACATTTTCCGCATCTTCATCACACTCAGCTTTATATTTGCAAGGTCCACACTTGGAGTGTTTTCTGTGAACTTCTGCCCCTGACCCTTCCTCTTCTGTTTAAAAAGAAAAATCAAATTTTCAACCAAATTTCAACCATACCTGGGATCCTTTCCAGATATGCTTCATGTTTTCAGTAGCCATAACCCTGTTTTGGGGGAAAACGTACCTGAGCTCTTGAAAACAGTCACTTCCAAAATCTATCAATGCTTGAGTCTACATATGTTGCCAATACTGAGTACAACATATTCCATGAGGAAAAATGGGTAGTGGTGCTAGCAAAATAATTCCTTAAACTATGTACACAGGAACAATATAGTAGGATTGATAATCAACTGCTTTTAAAAGAATTACCATATATAACATTAAGTAAGAGAGAGAAAAAAACACGAGCAATAAATTTAGTCCTGTGATTACTGTCCTACTGAGATAAGCCTGTGCAATGCTGGTTGGCAGGTAAGTGCTTGACCACAGTAAAACATAACTCTCACCTTTTCTTCACGTCAGTGTCACACCTGCCTTTCTAACTACATAAAAACTAATACCAGTTAAAGGAAATATTTATCTCCAAATTTTAAAAAGGAAAGGGGCCTTTAGAAAGGACTTTCCCCTTTTTTCTACCTGGCTACTTAACACAGCCCAAAACACCCCAATGCAGAAGTATGTGGGTCTCCTATGACCAGCACAAAAAACTGTGAATACCACTAGCCCCGACTCAGCTCACATCCCACACTTAAGGGGTCCTACATTTTGTGGGTCTCAATTAGAGTAGATCATATCCTGATAATCTCAGACTGGACAGGGAGATCAATTCTGAGATCATTGTAAAGATTTCAGTTTATTCGAGAGATTTCCCTGAATTTGGTTTAGGAAAAATTACTATTCAGGGGGTGTCCACTGGTAGATAAAGCGTTAAAAGGAAAGTACACAGATCTACCATGCCTACTTGGTAATAATTCTAAACTTCTGATTTTTGGTGTCTGCCTGTACTTTAAGTAGAAATCCTTTCCAAATTTTCATGAATACTCCCAAACAGATTCCAGGGATCATAATCCTAAGTAATTCTGAGGTCTCAAAACATCACGATACTCAGAAATACTATAACTACCAAGAGCTCACTAAGATTTGTATATTAATAAGAGCAAATCACTTAGTCTCATACTCCCTAAAAAAACAGTCGACCTGCATCCTCAGGGCAAGACATCCAGTATTGTATCATATAAGCAAATCTTGAGATCAACTCTCACTTCTTTAATATAGGAACAATGACAGTTTCCTAATTGAATACGTGACCACGGGGGATAGACCACATAATCTCTTAAAATCCGTTCCAGTTCTAAGGTCTAGGATTTATGATCTGATCCTTCACACATGATTATGAAGCTTCTGCTTGAACACGTCCACTTAAATCAAATTCTATTGTTCAACAGCTTTAATCATTTTTTTAGCTGAAACTGTCATCCTTGAACTTCTTCCTCATGACAGTTCTATTCTCTAGGTGACCTTCAAAGTCCCTTCCGACTCTGAAATTTTAGGATTCTATGAAGTGCAGAAGCCTGGAATAAGGCTTAGATATTCTGAAAGGATTATAATTGTAGTTTCCATTTGCATAAGTGTGAATTTCCTGAAGTGAATGTATGTCAAACATTATTTTGCATACAGTGGATACTCATTAAGAATTATGGCCTCAATAGACTATGAAATAGCTTAGGCATTCTCAATTCTGATCATTTACACTCTATTATATGCTGTTAGTAAATATTAATTTTTAAACATCAGAAATAATTCATATATTTGTAAAATAAAATCAAAAACATAGATATGAAATTTTTAAAGGTTTAGATTAAATTCTAAATTCCACTAGAATTATTTTCCAAGTCTTCCATTTTCTATGCTGAACTCACTCTGGAGTTTTTTAACCCTATACCTTAATAATTCCTTCTGAGCAAAAATTTGGAAGCAAGGGGTGGGAGAGAGTTACAAATACTCTCGTCTAAGCTAAAATTATATGTGGGGATGATCCTAAGAAGAAGTCACTTTGATGCAACCTAAATTGCACAGAGGCTATAACATTTTCCCCTTAGTCTGACAACAAACATTTAGTGAAAAATACATGAAACAAGAAGGCCTGGGGCTGAGGGAGATAGATGGGTTAGGGGTGATTGCTAAGCAGTGCATGGTTTCTTTTTAAGGTCATGAAAATCTTCCAAAATGGATTGCGGTAATGAATACACAGCTCCATGAATATACTAAAAGTTACTGAATTGTACACTTTAAATGGTGAACTGTATAGTATGTGAATTATATCTCAAAGCTGTTAAAAAAAAAAGTGAAAGAAAACAAATGCCCTTTAAGAGTTATGCTTGAAACCTACCTCCTTCTCCAGATCCAGATCCAGTATCTAAGAAGAAAAACGAAGAATGAATATGAACATTGTTCCTGCAAATTCCTTTTTATCAAATAGTAAAATTTCCTATCAAAAATAAAACTGTGATACCCATTCTCATAGAATCCTTTTCTTATGTTTGATATCTAACAGTTTATCCTTATTTTATGCCTCTCTTGAAATATAAATTACTTAGACACATAATCATCTGTATCTCGTACATCTTTGTAGCTCATTAAGAAAAATACCCAGGTGCCTTGCACAGAGTAAAGACCAATAAATTTTGTAAAGTAAATGGCTAAATATAAAGAATTAATTTTAATTTATTCATTTAAAAAGTAAAGAAAATTTAAATTTTGTTAAAGCTTGAGAGGAATAATGAGTAAGCTGCTTTTATTAGAAAGACAGGAAAGAGCTTTGAGTCATGCTCCAAAAAATGTTCTTAATGAAATCTATAGATAGAGACCAAAAGCCAAAAGGTAAGAAAAGCCCCAAGGTTTAGGAAGGAAAGATCCACAAGGTCAAGGTTCTCGTATTACTGATGAAATTAACTTCCTCTAAGAAACCTAGTCAGAAGGAATCTCACCTGACTTATTATTAGTGAAACTAAAAAGAGCCTCTCTCAAAGTTATCAAAAAGGAGCCAGCCTAAAATGTAATTAATGTAAAAAATTTAGTTTATAATACTAAAAGAGCCAATATATAGCACAGAATACGTTAAAAAGCGGGTTTTACTAGTATGGAGCCATAAAAAAAAAGCAGAGAGGGAAAATGAAGAATGTGATACTTTATCCAGTACTTTCCAGGGGAGAAGAACACCCTGATCCAGAGACCCCATTCCAGTTCTCCAAATTGTTCTTGGGAGTAGAAGACAACACCAAGTATAATACCGCCCCCTTTCCTTCAAGCTCCTTCAAACAATAATCAAATTCCCAGGTACAGTAAAAAAAGGAGGAATTAGATAAATATATACTGTAAGTAGTACCAATTGTAAAATCTTCATGGGATCTTATGGAAAGTCTTAAATTGTGTTCAATTTGGATTAAACAACCATAAAACGATGTCTTCTCTGAGTAAGTTAAGGAGGACAAGAAAGAGGAAGGAGCAGTAAAAAGAGGAGGAAGGGAACTCAAAATTGTTTTATAACCAGACTTTTCTTAGGAAAACACCCCCTTCTTATTTCTATTCCACATACATTGATTGGGTACATATTATGTGCCAGGCACCATGGTAAATGCTAGGAATAAAATGACAAATAAGAGAGGGCATGAGATACTCACTCCCAACCTTTTGTTCAACCCATTTCTAATTTTAATGAATATAAAAATCTTACACCTCCCTTTATCATTTAGAATGCCTAAATAAATTAAATACTGTGACTACTCTGATAATGAGGTAGAGTTCTTCTTGTAGATTATATTTTATAGACTGTGCACACCACTCCCTGAGATTCTGATAAACCTCCCTAGGCAGGACATGGTTCCCTCCTGCTGAGAAATCACCAGTGTGGCTAGAGGCACATAGGTCAGATAAATGAAATGCAGTATGGTGTATGCATAGAGAAATACACAAGATGTGAACAAACTAAGCAAGGAGATGTAACAGAAGAAAGATTTCACAGAAGAGAAAAGGCTTAAGCCTAACCTTAAAGCATAAGGAGTTTTCAAGTAAAAGAGAATGATATTTCTAGCCATAAAACAGGACCCATAAAAGACCAAATGACACAAAAACACTTGTCCACTCAGCAAATAATACAATCGATACAGGGCATTATAACTTAGCTCATTCAATCCTTGTTTAACAGCCCCAGGAGATGATATCCACTTAAAATTTAGGGAATTGGGGCTCAGAGAGGCTAAGTGACTTGTCCAAGGTCATACGGTAAATAAGAATTATTTACTTTAAAGTCTGGCCTTTTAAACCCTAGTGTAGTGTTCTTTCCAATCTACCTCTCTGCTTCCTGATGTTTAACTTCACTGCCTATCAAAGTGCTTGGTCTCTTAAACACACGCCCCTCAGAAGTGATGCATAATTAATTTGGGATTGGAATGAACTCCATATTCCCCTTTAGTTTCTAGATCAATCTGTGAAACACAATTTAGAGATGTATAAAAGAACCACACCAAACAATAGTCTACTAGCCTAAGAACATAATAATTTCTCCAAGCACCTAATTATTTCGTGTAAGGAATTTGGCCTTGCCCAAATAGAGGTCTGGTATTTGCCCTCAGCTTCTGGAAGTTAATCTGTGTCATACCGGATAGGAGCATCTTTGTAAGGGAGGATGCTGACCATGTCAGAACTTAGGGTGGGGTCAGTCACACCCAACAGTCTTAGGGTGGGGGCTGGCTACACGAGAAAGACCAATCATGCAATTTAGAGTGGGGGCTTTGGGTCCCACAGTATTAGTGGACCTAGAGTCTGAGATGAACCACGTGGACAATAAACTAATCAATCATACTTATGTAATGAGCCCCCATAAAAACTATGAATACTAAGGCTCAGGCAAGCTTTCCTGGTTGGCAGTGCTCTATGTGTATTGTCACAGGCTGTGAGCAGGAGGAGTTAACACTGTCCATGACTCCACTGAGAGAGAGCAGCCAGAAGTTCCATGTTTGGATCCCTCCCAGAATCTACCAGATGCATCTCTTCCTTTGGCTGACTTTCACAGGTATTCTTTCTCTATAATAAATCATACCCAGGCATATAATAGCTTTCAACGAGTTCTGTGAGCCCTTCTAGCAAATTATTGAGTCAGTGGGTGGTTTGGGAAACCTCTCAATCTCAGTTGGTGTCAGAAGTAAAGACAATCTTGAGGACTGTGTCCTCTAACTTTGTAATTGGCCCTAAAAAATCTTCACAATTAATAAAAGGGAGAACTTTTGAGCACTGTAATATAAAGGGAAAGAAAGAAATTGGAAATCACATAAGAATAGTTTCTACCTTTACTGTTAACCTCCATATAATAATTCTAATTATAATACCTCACCTGTATCCCCCTACACCTGAATACCAACAGAAGAAACTAACATTAATGCCTCCCAAAATTATCCACTACCAATTCAAGAAGGAAAAAGAGATGGAAATAAATACAAACAGCTTGGAGGGAAGAGGTGGTAGAGAGAAAATAGAAGAGCTTGGAAAGAAACACAACCTGGGATGCTACTAATAGCTTTCTATAGATATTCCTTACCTCTTCCAAAAGAAAAAAAATCAACAAGATAGATCCCATATCATTTCTCACCCCAAATCTTATTCTGTCTAATGTTCAAACCATAGAGCAGAGGACATGCAAAGTCCCCACCAAAAAAAAAAAAAAAATGCAGTGAGAAGTAACATAATCAATATAAGGCCACCTGGGGTTAAAAAGCAACCACATAAAATAGGGGCAAAAAAGAGCTCCTCTGCTACCCTACACAATCACCACCAATCTATACAGCAGTTTTGAGAATACACCTCTGACGAAGGCCTTCCTTTTAGAAAATATGGAGGAACCATTTCCGACACTTATTCAGAAGAATGTCATACATACCAGAGTAGCATGGTCCTCTTGCTACCACTGTTATCTCTTTCTGGTGCTTACAAGCAGCCCTTCTGAGAAAGCATTCATTTTGATAAGTGTCCCCATTTGATCCACAGACTGGAATGTAATTTGTATGGCACTGCAAAAGAAACAAAAATAAATTCTCAGAACAAGACATGAATATTAATAGTTTATTTCACATTCATGAATGCAATACCATAGCATTATGACATACTTCCACTACTGAATAGTCTGTTCTTTTTCTTGGTTTAAAAAAAGAAGAATTATGCTGCTTCTTCGTATCTTTTTTTCACATTCATAATGAAAGTAACTACCAACTATCCATGAAAATGAGAATGAAAATCTCTACGCTTGCTATGAAAACCGATTAAGATAATAAGAGGAAAATCTTGACAATGTTTGAAACTGTGCTACTTATGTAATGTTGTTTTATTATTATCAAAATTCATTTATTCATTTGAACCTAATCATAAAGATAGAAAAAATTCATTTATTCAACACGTCTAGTAGGCTAAGTCTCACGGAAAATGCTAGAGAAGACACAAAGAAATATAAGATGATCTCTGTTCTCAGAAATCTTACAATCTTGTTAGAGAGCCATCCAAATAGAAAATAATATATATATATTTAATATATATATGTTGCAAAGCTAGATCATGCACCAAATCAATAGTATAGACAATAAGAATAATGCCTAATACTTATTATTATAAGCTGGAATATCTAAGAAAAGCCTTCTCAGGAAAAGTGAAATGTGAACTGAATCTTGAAGGATGAGTAGAAATAAAACAGATGAAGAAGAAAAAACGTGATACAGGTTTGAGAAATTACATTGGAGTTACAAGTTTTAAAACCTTTAAAACTTCTACATGTCAAAAATATCATAAATGTCTAAATTTTTAAAATCTGGAGAAAACATTATAATAATACAATGCAAGTTATTATCATTACTTAAAAAGAGATCATATGAATTTAAAAAAAGACCAAAGACATGAAGTATTTACAGAAAAATTACAGTCAGTTTATGACCTTCACTAGCAGAGTTGTACACTAAAGTGAGATGCTATTTTTAACTTATAAAATTGCCTGTTAGGCTGGGCTCTCGCCTGCAATCCTAGCACTTTGGGAGGCCAAGGCAGGAAGACTGTTCAAATGCCACGAGTTCTGACCAGTCTGAGCAACATAACAAGACCCTGTCTCTACAAAAACTAGAAAACATCAGCCCTGCATGTGGTGGTGCATGTCAGCAGTCCCACCTGAGCCTAGGAATTTGCGGATGCAGTGAACTATGATGATGCCCAAGCAACGCAGCGACACCTCGTCTCAAAAAAATAAATTAATTAATTAAATAGGATATTTTTAAAAATTCAATGAGGTGGCCTTCCCAATACACCAGCTGTGGTAATCTAAATTGGTTCAACTTTCAAGGAACATAATTTTTTTTTAAGAGTAGCTGGGACTACAGGTGCAAGTCACCACGCCCAGCTGGGGAACACAATTTAACAATAGGTTTCAAGAGTCCTAAAAAAGGAGGCCAGGTGCAGTGGCTCACACCTGTAATCCCAGCACTCTTGGGAGGCTGAGGCGAGAGGACTGCTTGAGCTCGGGAGTTCAAGACCAGCCTGAGCAAGAGCGAGACCCCATCTCTACAAAAAAACAGAAAAAATTAGCCGGGTGTGGTGGCACACGCCTGTAGTCCCAGCTATTCAGGTGGCTGAGGCAGGAGGATCACTTGAACCTGAAAGTTTGAGGTTGTAGTGAGCTATTATGACGTCACTGTACTCTAGCCCTGGCAACAGAGTGAGATTCCATCTAAAAAAAAAAAGTCCTAAAAAAGGAATGCAGTTTTTGATCCAGAATTATACATTTAAAAATCTATCTGAAGGAAACTTGTAGACAAGCATTTATTACAGCCATTTCAAACAGAAATTTATAATAGCAATAACTTAGAAACCTAAATATCCAACAAGGCAATGTTTAATTAAAGCGTGTTATATCTGCTCAAGGAATTAATACTGCAGTCATTAAAAATTACCTTTTAAAAGAATATCATGACAGGAAAAGCTAATATAACATTAGATAAAAAGCACATATCTAATTTCTGAGATTTTGTGCCATTTTTTAATGTATTATCTGTTCTACAAAACTGAATGCAACTATAGCAAGACAATAATTTATTTAGATACCAATTTAGAAAAAATGAATGTGCATAAAATAAATCCTAGAAGAAAATGCCAATAAATTTTCCACATTACTTGTTTCATGGTTTTTTATTTCCATGTTTAAGATTTTCTGTACTTTTCAATTTTTCTTTAATGAACATGATTTATTTACTTTTATCATTTAACTACTTTTAAAAAGTGGCACTGGTAAATACAACTTCTAACTAATAAGGTATTTTATAACCAAGTTGATTTTGCTATATATTCAGTATCAGCAGAATCTTCTATCAACTTTTATTACAATTAAAATTTTACCTTAGAAAGCCTTCCTATATTCCTCCAATTTTTCATGGATCACATTCCTTTATTGTCTTTCCCTAAAATTTATACAATTAACTAGTATGATGTCTGCAGGAGTTAATATTACTTTGTAATTATATAACACATAATTAGCAAAGGAAACTATAAGCTCCAAGATGTCAAATGCTAAGTCTATGAACTTTCCAACCAATTCTCTTCCCTCAACAAATGCTTAATGACTTTCTAATATAGTGCTCTCAAAGGTGCCAATATTGCCCCCTAGGGGTGAATGTCCCTATGAGGGCCTTTTTTGTTGTCACAATGATAGACATTACTGTCATTTCACAGGTGGATTCTAAGGATGCTAGATGTACTTACTGCAAAGGAAAGGACGATTCCACACAATAAAGTCTTACAAGTACCACACAATTTCTAAATGTCTCTCTATGCATTCCTGTAGGAACTATGGTAAGACTTACCATATACTATAAATAAATCTGGTCTGTTATACCTTATCCTAATATTGGTTTTTATTGTAGCATCCACTATACCTCTACTTTTTTGTTTTCATGTATTTCTAGGAAATCGCTTCTGATTTTTTTAAAATCCAAATATTCATTTTAAGTAGACATAAGCGTCAGATTATATTGTCTTCTAGTGTAATCATGCTCAAGCAATTACATTCTGAAATACTTATTTTATTATAAATTACTTTTATTTCTCCTTTACACTGCAATTATACATTATATTCATTTATTTAATTATGTGTTTATGTAGATTATATTATCTATGAGTTTCATTTAAGGATAGTAAAGAAATGGAATATAAATTACTGGTTATTTTCAAAAGCATTGAATCTGACAGGACTGAGAATCTTAACATTTATTAAACAGTTTCTATCTAATAAGCACCGGGCTACAACTTTAAATGTCCTATCAGACTTAAATATCATAACAACCCTGTGAAGCACATGGCTTAATGCTTAGAGCTAGGGCTCTGAAGTAAAGAATATTTGAATTCAAATCCTAAGCTGACCATCCACGTGACTATGGGCCTGCACCAGCCCCATCTTCCCCATCCACACAATAGCAATTATAACAGTACATACCTAATAAAGTTGTTATAAGGATTAAATAAGAGAACCTACCTTTAGCATTTATATCTGGACATGGTAAATTCTCAATAAACATGAGCTGTTTTTGCTATTGCTAAGTTTTAAGTATTTGCCCACAGTAACAGCTAGTAAGTGGAAGAGAAACAATTCTTCTCAAGTGATGTACTTTAACTACTACACATTCAAGTTATTCAGCAAGGTCTTGCCACATGTCACTTGGTGGTAGTAAGCAGGGCACTTAAGGTCCCTGAAATTTAACCTCACAAGCACGTACATAGGAGTGAGCAAGAGATGGAAGAAGTGGACCTGCTCATCCTTGGTCATTCTCAGTTTCCAGGAGTCTCATTATGCTTACGGACAAATTAAGGGATTTGGACAATTTTAACAACACACAGTTTCTAACTAATGCGTTGATGCTGGAACGTAACTCTAACCTAAGGTCTGGCTCCTCTACAATGCCACACTTACTGGGAGAAAGAACTCTCCCCTATACCTTCTCTATAGCTTAGAAGAGTGTGATGGTAACGCCAGCTATTTTAAGTAGTTCAGAAGTACATAGTAGTGTTAACTCTGGAGCCATATACATTCAAGCATTTACTGCATACCCACTGTGGGTCAGGAACTGTGCTGAATACAATGGATAGAAAATTTTAACAAGGTCATGATAGTTAATTTTATGTGTCAATGGTTAATTTTATGTGTCAACTTGACTGGGCCCCAGGGTATCCAGATTAAAATTATTTCTGGATGTGACTGTAAGGGTGTTTCTGGGTGAGATCAGCACTGGCGGACCAAGCAAAGCAGATTGCCCTCCCCAGTGTGGGCGGGTATCATCCAATCCATTGAGGACATGAATAGAACAAAAAGGCGGAGGAAGAAAGAATTCTCTCTCTCTGCCTGACTGCTTGAGCTGGGACATCAGGTAGTCTCCTAGTTCTGATGCCTTCAGTCTGAGACTGGTACTTAACGCCACTGGCTTTCCTGGGCTTCCAGCATGCAGATAACAGATTGTAGGATTTCTCACCCTCCATAATCAAATGAGCCAATTCCTTATAATAAATCTCTCTCTCTCTCTCTCTCTCTCTCTCTCTTTCTCTCTCTCTCTCATTCATACATAGCTATACACACACACCCACACACACACACACACACACATATTTCCTATTGGTTCTATTTCTCTATAGAACCATGTCCAATAATACAAAGGTCTAATAAACAGGGTATGGGACCTAGCAAGAGCAGACATTGATAAATTCATAGTCCAGAGAATTCCAGATAGAGGAACAAAGAAGAAAGAAAACAGGGGGAAAGTCATAGGCTCTCAAAGTTTTTTTGGGGTGTGTGTGTGTGTGTGTGTGTGTGTGTGTGTGTGGGGTACTGCTTTTTTTTTTTTCTCCTTTAAACTGAGACAGAGTCTCACTTTGTCATCCAGGCTAGAGTACAGTGCCATCATCTTGGCTCACTGCAACCTCAAACTCCTGGGCTGAAGAGATCTATCTGCCTCAGCCTCCCCAGTAGCTGGGACTACAGGGGCGCACCACC